ACGTAGGTCACGTAACTCTAATCTCAGTTTTCAGCCTCTTCCATCACTTCCATCACCACGGTTCTGGGTCCCGTTAGGATCAGATAGCTGACTATCCGGTAGTCCAGATCAAGAACGTTGAGGCCGTTGACTGAAACCACAAACTGGCGAACCTGCAGATCAGGACACGAGACAGGAAGTAAGAACTTTTTCAAGTGTTTCTGCTGAAATCAACATCAGTTTCTTAACAGAGCTGGCTTTTTGCCGTGTTGTGGTACAAACAACAGCACAGCCCTAGTTCAGCTTCAGTTGGTATCTCTTCAGCACAATATCAGGATATTTGGTGCATGAATTCACAGCAGTAGCTTCTTCCTGTAGCCACCTGCCTGTCACGCTTACCTTCATCCCTGCGAGAGCAGCTGGACCCTGAGGCTCCACGGCCTGGATGTGGCACGGCCGGTTTCCTCTGACCACAAAGCCCCAGCCCACCGCATCACCGACAATCTGCAGACACACAGACGACGGTCACACATTTATCTGCAGTGTGCAAAAGTCTTTTACACAGAAAGTGAGAAAAAGACATCGTCGTTCTCATCGAGTGTTTTATTCATGTCAGTCGTTTCTGACACCTGTTACACTCCAGCACCATCCACAATCACCTCTGAAACACGTTCACATTAAAATAATAGAACAGCACTTTTAAAGAAAGAAGGTGTCCCATTCGCTCATTTTTCTCTTGTACTGTGAAAAAAATGTTACAAGTTTTCCCCTCAGCTTCATAGAAAACTCTCTGAAGTGTGTAAAATGAATTTACCGTGAAGGTTTTCCTGATGTAGGGTCCTCCTGGTTCTTGTAGCTCCTCTGTGCTCACTGGTCTCTTGAGGACTGAGACAAAAGTAAAAGACATTTTAGATTTAATGCAAGTGGGTAACTTTCCATGTTTGATTTGGCAGATTTTTATGACTAAAAGCAGTTTGGTTTCCATATTTGGAAAAGCAAAGACGACGCTAACGCTGTAGAGGTCTAAAGCTGCTCCTTAATTCAGTTGTTGAGCATTTTTATTACCAGATTTGGGGTTGGAGAGCACCAGGGAGGAGGAGGAGGTGCTGGGGAGACCGACTCGTCCTCGGGTGTATATGTGTCCATCACTGCAGCTTCTCATCCGGGCTTCTCCACGACCTCCGCCACGACCTCCACCACATCCACCTGTGACAGCTTTCACATCCTTGGATGCTGTGACTGTTGGAGACAGAGAAGTTTCTGTAACCTTAATACTGTTGATGATATTTTACATTTCAAACATTTGAGTTATTTACCAAATGAATATTGACATGAACATCTTGAGTTCCTGCTCTGATGGACTAGAGCAGCTCTGCATGATTCATTTTATTTTATAAAGTTATTTTAGTTCTTTGCTCTCTGAGCCGATTTAGGCCGGCGCTGCTCGGATCATCTGCAGGTCACAAACAGGTCTGAACAGCAGCTGATCTTTGTGAGTCAGAGCTGTGTGATATTACACAGAGGCGAGAGTGGGATTATTCACAATAAGTCACCTTTAAATGAATTAAAATATACATATTGTAATAATATGATGTATTTCTGCGTCTCCCCTCACAGACAGAAGGAAAGTGTTGAAGTGATGAGATGGAGACTTGCATGTTTTCAATAATAACGATTGAAGCTGACCCACTTCTGTGTTTGACTTCCTTTATTTAACTTCCAACAATTCAGTTCAAACATGCTTTGATAAGAAGCCGCGCTTCTTTCAATAGCAGAGATAAGCTGAGCTGAGTTCATGGTGCTGACTGAGTCGTTCCTTCTGCTGTGAGACGAGGCGGCGCGACGACGCTGCTGCTGCTGCACGTTCACGCCAGACCAGGTCTTAGTTTCTGA